AAAGAGACTCCCCAGCCCCTCTGGGCAGCCTGGGCCAGGGCTCTGTCACCCTCAGAGGGAAGAAATTCTTCCTCGTGTTCAGCTGGAGCTTCCTCTGCTTCAGTTTGTGCCCGTTGGCCCTTGTCCTGTCGCTGGGCACCACTGGAAAGAGTCTGGCCCCATCCTCCTGACCTCCACCCTGCAGATATTTAGAGGCATTTCTAAGGTCCCCTCTCAGCCTTCAAGCTGGCCGAGCAAAGTGGGTATTCGATACCCTAGGATGTCATGCTCGGTTCACAGTGGGGGAGCTGGCCAGGGGTGCGGTGGGGAGGTTAATCGCAGCTCCAGAGCGCACCCAGGGCATCAGGCTGTAAGAGTTGCTCTGTGTGTTCCCTTGTTCTTATCAGCATTGTTGTTGTTACTGTTCGCTTCCTTTGCTGTTCTGTCGAACTGTCCTTATCCCAACCCACGAGCTTTGCCTTTTTCTTCCCAGTGGGGGGGGAGAGGTGATAGAGAGACCCCGTGGTCCTTTGCTGTTGGCCGGGGCTAAACCACAATGGGCCTTTTGGCACCCAGCGTGGGGTGAGCATAACAGCAGGGCTGAGCAGAGTGTGTTAAAACAACTTTGTTATAATTCGTTATACCCATTTGTTGCATTAAATAGTCGCTGATCAAAATGTTGCTTTCTTTGGTCACACGGTTCTGGTATGTTCTCTTACTTGCTGTTTGTGTTCCCTGAGGTGCTGTTCATCATCTCTGGGAAGAAGATCAAGATTACCATTGTCTTGTACTGTGTAATATCAACTTACGATATGAGAACATCACTGGGCATGAGGTTAGGCTTCTATCTGTATGCAGCACTGCAGTCATTTCCATACGTCGGATGCTATCTCTCGGAATGTATTAATAATTGAAGCCAACCTGTGCGGAAGACCCGAGGGGATCATTTCCCCTCTTCTTTCACCCCTCCTTTCTCCATCAGGCTAGTCATAATGGCTTTTGAGAATTTTGAGTATCCTTGGGATGTTCAAGCCAGCATGCTCCTGTTGCTCTGTCTACTGAATGGGGTTCAGGTCTTGTTTAGGGTTAAACAACTATTTTAAAATATCGCCCAGAGATCTGCCCCGAGGCTGGATAGCTGTGAGTGGTGGGGTGTGTGGGATAGCATGAGCAAATACCTATGATGGTGGGCACCCCCGGTATTCTGGAATTTCACCTCTGAACAAGTGCAGAATCCTGATGAACTAGTAGAATATTAGCCTGGCCCATGCCTACCAAATACTATTCAGTGCTCTCAAGAGAAAGGGGGGAAAACAAAGCAACGGACCCTACAGCTACCCCTACACCCACAACAGGCTCTACAGCCGCTCCAGCCCCTCACGGTACCCCAAACCCCCAAAGAGGCACTGTGCTAGCCCCAACCCCCACAGCGGGCACGGCGGCTGCTCAAACCCGGCAACAAGCACTGAGGCTAAACCAGAAAACCAACCCGTGCCAGTATCAGTCACCCCTAGACAGAAGAAGAAACACACAAAAAAATCAGTTCACCCAGTAAGGGATGACCATGAACCAGGGCCATCAGGAGAGCAGGAGGAGGAGGCAGAACCAGAGACACTCGCCAGTTCCCTGTCCTCGAGTGAGCTGCAAGATATGAGGAAAGATTTCAGCCCCCATCCAGGAGAGCTCATTTATTACCCAGCTCCTCTGATGCTGGGATAATGGGGCCAATAGCTTGCAATTGGAGGGCAGAGCAGCAAAGCAGCTGAGATCCCTGGCCAGGGAAGGGGACATTGACAAGGTGACTGGAAAAAAGACACAAGCTCTTAGCCTTTGGAGATGACTTCTGTTAGCTGTGAAGGAAAGAGATCCCTTCAGTGAGGATGTTGTATGGTATCAAGGCAAGTGAACCACCATGGAGAGAGATACCCAATCCTTGATGGACTTAGCCATGTGGGAGACCATTTATTATGACCCGGAAAATGCACTGTTACCCACTGACCCAGATGAAGTCTCATGCACATGACCCATGTGGCGGAAGTTTGTATGGAGTGCAGCATCATCGTATACCAACTCACTGGCAGTGACGGACTGGAAAGGCGAAGAGGCACCAACAGTGGATGAAGTGGCTGGCCAACTCTGGCAATATGAAGAAAGTCTCTCTTCCTCCCTCATCTCGCATGTGGAGAAACTGGTCCAGCGACTCGAAGAGAATATGCCTTCCTCCCCACCAGTACACGACAGTATCTCAGCTGTTAGGAGTCAGAATTCCTCTGCTCAAGAGAAAGCAAATAGAGGGTACACACCACAAGGCACCCTGTGGTTTTACTCGCGTTTCCAAGTGGAAGACATGAAGAAGTGGGATGGAAAACCTATTTCAACCCTAGAGGCAGGAGTGTGTGAGTTGCAAGGAAAAAAGATTCACAAAATGGGAATCCTCCAGGAAAAATGCTGCTCCAGATTCCAGCGGGCAGTTCTCCAGACAGAGCAGAAAGTTTGATCTTACTTCTGATCCTCTCGAACGGATCTCTAAGTCATTTTTACCGGAAGTGAGTAACGAATACTCTGACCAAGATTAGAGGAGCCCTGCCTCCAGCCAGGTGAAGGAAAGGGCCTGGCATGTCAGATCCACAGGAGTATCAGGCTCTAGTGGACACTGCTGCACAGTGCACCCTAATGCCATCAGATTACAAAGGCGCAGAACCCATCGGTATTTCTGGAGTGACAGGGGGATCGCAACATCTACCTGAGTTGGAGGCTGAAGTGAACCTAACTGGGAATGAGTGGCAAAAGCACCACGGTGTGACTGGCCCTGAGGCTCCGTGCGTCCTTGGGACAGGCTGCCTCAGGAGAGGGGATTTCAAAGACCCAAAAGGGGACCAGTGTGCTTTTGGTGTAGCCGTTGTGAAGATGGAAGACATTATACAGCTCTCCATCTTGACTGGTCTCTCGGAGGATCTTTCTCTTGTGAGGATGCTGAGGGCTGAAGAACAGGTGCTGAACTCTACCACAACCGTGCACTAACAGCAACATCACACCAACTGAGACTCCCTGATGCCCATCCAGAAGCTGATTCATCGACTGCAGAGATAAGCAGTGATCAGCAGGACTTGCTCACCCTTTACCAGTCCCATATGGCCAGTGTGAAAGTCTAAGGGAGAGTAGAGACTGACAGTGGAATACCGTGGCCTGAATGAAGTTGCACCATGGCTGAATGCTTCCACACCAGACATGCTAGCACTTCAGTACGACCTGGAGTCCAAGGCAGCCAAGTGGTATGCCACTACTGATACCACTAATGCATTCTTCTGAACCCTTCTGGCGGCAGAGCGCAGGCCAGACTTTGCTTTCACCTGGAGGGGCGTCCAGTACACCTGGAATTGCCTGCCCCAGGGATGGAAACACCGCATCACCATTTCCCATGGACTGATCCAGACTGTGCTGAACAGGGTGAAGCTCTGGAACATCTATAGGACATGCATGATATCATTGTGTGGGGTGATAACTCAGAATAAGTTTTTCAGAAAGGGGACAAAATAGTTCAAATCCTTCTGTAAGACTTTTTTTTCACATGCAGCTGGGAGGGGACACAGTGGGAAGCGCTGACCCAAAGCAGCCAAACTAGTGGGAATTTCGATACTATCTGACATCATGCCCACAAGGGAGCTGGGGTAGCTGGCCAGGGAGGAGAATCGCTGCTCCGGAGGGAGCTGGATATCAGCAATAAGAAAACTGAGCAGCTTATCCTGGAGGTCATCAACAAGCAAGTGGAGGAAAAGAAGGTTATCAGGAGTAGTCAGCATGGATTCATCAAGGGGAAATCATGCCTGACCAATCTGATAGCTTTCTA